GCTTTTTCAACAAGCGGGACTGACCTAGGGTGAATTTTAAATAGGGAATAATTTTTAAAGATTTTAATAATGACACAGCCATAAATATATTTGGTTTTTAATTGGTTTTATAGGGGAAATGTTTTTTGTGTTGTTTTTTAACATGCTGTGAGCCGCCCTGAGTCCCGTGGGGAGAAGGGCGGCATAGAAGTTGGAAAAAAAAAAAAAAAAAAAATCACCATGCTTTCAGTAATAGTTCCACTATCCAATCATCACAGAGGTAATATAGAGTCATTATGATGAAGAGCCACTGATTTTCTTATTCCCATAAAGTATTTCCAGCAACATGCAAAAATGTCAATCACTTTTTCATTATTATTAAATTTGTTTGCCACCCATCTCACCACAAAAGTGATTCTTTTAAAAAAAATAACATCTTTTTATTTTATTGTTCTTATAAATAAAAAGTTAAAAAATGGAGATCAAGTAAACATCAAAGAATATGATTTACCAAGACATTTTCACAGATGATCAGAGCCAGAAGCTCATCTCTTAACAGAAACTAAATATAGCACAGGGAAAATTCAGTGCCTATACCTTAATAATAGCCCAGACTTCATCTCTCCTATTGTCACAATACTCTGCAGGGTAAGCAAGGGATGATCCAAGTCACAAGGAAAGTAAATAGCACTGCATTACTTTACCTGATCATCAATTAACATTGTTAATTCTCCAGAAAAAAAACTATCATAGAACATTGTTATTATGAATCCTCATAATCCCCACTCCCATATTTCTGCCTTTGTCCATAGTGTAATTTTTGGAAAAGATAAATTCTGCTATTCTAATAAATAAGTATCTATTTCTCCTTCTCTTTTTTCAAAATATACATTCCGAAGACCAGATCCCACAACTGGACATTCATTCCCAATGGATTTTTGGAAAGTGCCATAATTCTATAGGTTGACTAATCTGAGACTTGGCAAGTTAATTTTATTCTTGTTTAGACAATTTTCAGAATAGTCAGCCATACAATTCTATAAGGCTTCCTATTTCATGAAATATAACATTTGACTATAGAAAAGTATATATTTATAGCTCAGGATTGAACTGTGGTATCCTTGGTGGTCTCTGAGCTTGGCTGTTTTCTTGCAGAATTTTCATTACCAAACTAGATAATCGCAGTGCTGGAAGAGAGTTCTAGAACCAATTAAATCCCTCCAAAACATCCTAAGTAAACTAAAAGACCCAGCAGCTCAGAAAGAAAAAAAAACAGAAATCATCTATAGCAGGGGTGTCAAACTTGCAACGTCATGTGACGTGTGGTGATGTATCACAACTTTTTTGCCATTGCTGGCAATGGGGCAGGTGTGGTTTCGCTATGATGCATTCGGCCCGCGGGCCGGCAGTTTGACACTCCTGAGCTATAGCATATAAAGCTGTAACAGCTGCTATGTAAGACAAAAAGGCACAAAAGTAGCAGATGCATCTGTGAATACCAACTAGCAGTAAGAGACATGATGAAAATTCATAACACATGAGCAGACTTAATCATAGTTTCAGCTGGGAAGATGTGAGCATCCTAGACCAAGACAAGTCCAAAAATGCTAGAAAATTCCAGGAATACCAAAAACCTCACATAAAACTTGACCAGTCACATGATAAATCTCTCCTTCCCTCCCTGTATGGTTTTAATTTAATTGTATTTAAATTAATGTTTGTCTGTCTGTCTGTGTCTCTTTTAAATGCTGCTGTCCTTATGCGACTCTTTGGGAGACAACTGACAGATAAGCAGCTTCTTCTAAATACAGGAAAAAAAATCTGCTTGAGAGGGAGACCCCACACCACCCAAATATCAGAACCAGCAATTTCAGAAGCAGCTGAAGGATGGATATAAGGTTATATATTTTGTAAAAGCCATTTCAAATGCATAGTGAACAATAAAAGATAAATTTGCAGTTGAAAAGAGCACTCGATCAAATCAAACTTTCAGATCTGAAGAACTGATGACCCTTCTAGTAATCAGTTCATAAAATATTCTAAGCATCTCACTTGCCCCCACTTTCAGATAGAACTGAAATATATGTAGCTTGGATAATCATGGCATTAATAAAGGCTATGAATTTCTTACCTCTGCAATTTTACTCAAGTTAGCTTCTTATTCAAATCACTTTAGCAAGAGCCCTAATCACCAACAACAACTTCAAATGTATTCAAAATTATGCA